TCCCGGGGGGAGGGGCCACAGCAGCCTCTGCCCCCCAGGTGGCCCCACAGACTGTGGTTCTAAGGGGTGGGTGCCAGTTTGCAGGGAGCCACATGTCTGAAACAGCAGCCTCCCTGTCTCATGACTGCCCGCTCCAGGGAACCTCCCACAGGGCCCTCCTGTCCCCCAAACCTCTGGAGTCACTGCCTCTACCCCCTGCCACCTGTCCTCACATCCTCTCCTCACCCTTCTGGTACAGACCAGCCTGTCCTGCAATCACCGTGCCAGCTGGACACCATCAGGCCTGCCCTCAGAGGTAAAAGTGCTCCCACCCCATGCAGGTGGTCCCTCAAGAACAGGACAGATTTTCACTGGACCTCGTCTGCAAATGCAGTCACCAAATGAAGTCCACAGTGCTCTGATAAGTGTCAGACTCTGCTCAGAACACCTCTGAATGAGAGGAGGTCGGTACCACACAGTAAGTTTTATGAATTCAGTTGATTTGAAATGATCGTGAGAAGGAGTCTTTGAGAAACACAGCCTGGTAGAACCTTCCATACAGGATCCTGCTTGAGTTTGGTCTTTATATCTTTAAAAATAACAAATCCCATCCTTTCTCTTTGGGAGTGGGGCAGGCCTTGAGGATCTGGCTTCCCTGGCTGGGGAGTTTCTCTCCCATCTACACGAGGATCAGTGTGTGTTGGTCCCCGCCTGTTGCTCTCTGAAGGTTCCTACTGGTCCAGGCTGGGCCTGCCTCAGATGAGGACAGAGACAAGCCTGCAATATCCACCCCAGAATCCTCAATGGCTGGTCACCAGGGAATGGTGGTGATTTTCACCTGGTGTTTTGAGCGTGGTTTGACTTTCAGTTCATTCATGTCTTTCCTTCCACAGCATTGTTAGAGACAGATAAGTGTAAACCCATTGTTTTACTATTTTAAGAATACTGGAATGGATTGCCATTCCCTTCTCCGGGGGATCTTCCCAACCCAAGGATTGAACCCAGGTGTCCTGCATTGCAGGCATATTCTTTACCATCTGAGCCACCAGGAAAGCCCTTTTAAAGAACATCAACAAAGAGAACATTTGTGTAACACTTTGTGGACTGCGTGGCATTGAAACAAAAATCAGGTGGCTTAAATATCCAAATAACCAGTAACACTGGAATTGCTATTTCCCTCAGATTTTGATTGAGGTAGGGAGAGTAAGTGGGTTGTCAGAGGTCAAGGGTTGTCAGCAGCAGGTGGGTTTGGGGCTTTACCAGGGCCATCTGCTCGACCCTCACTGTTCTGAGATCTGATCTCCTGTCAGGAGCTGCAGATCGGCAACGCCACACATGTGGTAAAGAGACAGCCTACCTGATTCCAAGATTCTCCGAGGCAGACGCCCCCTGGACTTCAGTTACGGCTAACAAGGTCGGGCACCCACCCCAGAGCAATCTCCCTGGACCGGCCTCCAGCGCACACTTTCGCCTCCTGTCATTATCTCTGGGGCAGAGAAGAGCCCACTGCCTTTCTCCCCAGAGGACTCTTCTCAGAAACGTCTAAGGTGTGTTCCCACCACAGACCACTTGAGCGGTTTTGGAAATCAGGGTTAATCGCAAGACGGGGCCCAGAGCCCAGTGAGCCACCTCTGGGGCTGGTGCTCAGCTAGAAGTCAGCACGGCTGGGCCCCAGGGAGAGAAGAGGGCCCTGCCGGGGAGACAGATAGGACAGCATCACCGTCTCTCCAGCTGGGAGCACGTGGGTGACCCACAGGAGACACTGATGATGAGGAGGAGATGCCTGGGACCCGGAGCTGCCCTGGTCTGTCAGCTGCCCCCTGACAAGGCAGCCGGAAGGCAATGGCTTCTGGCTTGACCTACGCCATCTGATAAGCAAGGAAACAGCCACTACCTCGCACCTCCTTCCAAGTCGCACAGGGGTCTTTTTCAGTGAAACACACCTACGGTGGGTCACCCTCCACCCCTGGGACCTGTCTGTCCACAGTTATACCCTCAGACAGAGCCTGAAAGGATGCCCTGGTTGAAGGAGAGTTGATGCCTCCCCGGGTTAAGGTCCGGGTCTGGGCACCATGGCCTGTTTAGGATAACTTCTTCAACACTCTCTACCTTTTCCTCTTTCACACCAACTTCATGAAATTTTTCAGAGACATGTGTACATGAATAAAATATTGTTTCTTGCCCAGTCAGCAAGTCTCGCCCCAAAGCACACTTACATATTGACAAACTGATATTCACCTCCTGTCGTTGGTCCAGCAAACCGTGGACAGGCTTTCAATGCAAAGGCCTTTCCCTCTTCTACAGGTGGCTTTAAGTTATTGAACTAACGTCACTCCTGAGCAGCCCGGCCTCAGCGATTTCACCTGTGACATCAGAACTTTGCTCCATCTGACTCCGCACTAAGGAGGGCTCCATCTGACTCCGCACTAAGGAGGGCTCCATCTGACTCCACACTCTCTCGTGCCCAGATCAAAGGCAGTGCACACCAGGTTTTCTCCTAAAAGAAACAAAATATCTCATGTGCTCCTTGAAGACTCTGCTTAATGAAACCTGGCAAGTCTTTTTTCTGTGAACACGTGTGACACACACACTGATGAATAAAACCTGTCCAGATGGGTGGAAACCATCTGATCTGTTATGAATAACAAATGGACCAGAAATCAACAGATCCCCTGAGAGCGTGGTGCTGATTATTTCCTTAGTCGATTGGAGTGTCCAGGCCATCCTGATGGATGGAGCAGAAGCTCCATTGTGAGGGGAGGAGAATCCAGGAGTCTGGTTATCCCAGGAAATGCCAGCAAAATTCCACATCTGGTTGACAGGACTTTCGTACAAGTTCAATATTCACCAGAACAATTTTACTGTCATGGTTTTAAATTTCAATAGAATATATTAATTGTATGTATATAATTAATACAAGGGGCTTCCAAGTGGCTCTAGTAAAGAACCCACCTGCCAATGCAGGAGTTTCGGGTTCAATCCCTGGTGGTGGGGAAGATCCCCTGGAGAAGGGCATGGCAACCCACTCCAGTATTCCTGCCTGCAGAATCCCATGGACAGAGGAGATTGGTGGGCGAGTCCCTGGGGTCACAAAGAATCAGACACAACTTTGTAACTGAACAACAAGAGACTAGATCTTAAAAGTTCTCAAAATAAAATGCCAACCACAAAGGTTCTACTTAGTAGCCACATTAAAAAGAAAATCAAACAGGTGAAATAAATGTTAATAATAAATTGTGTTTAATCCCACGCAGCCAAAATACTATGATCTCAAAATGTAATCCATATAAACTGTACTGGGAGATTTTATGATCTTTTTGAAGCAGATCGCAGAAACATGGTGTGTGTTTTACCCTTCAGCACATCTCCCTTCAAATGCTGAATTTTCATCAGAAATTCTTGCTCTGTGTTTAGATTTCATAGCCTTTGCAAATGAAAACACTAAATACACACACCCTAGTGGTATGGTCACACTGAACAGTTTTTTGATAGCTGCTTTAAATTTAAGTGCTACATAATTAAATGAACAATGCATTTGCCTGGTTCAATAACTGTCTGTCCAGGGGCCACCTTTCTGGACATCACAGTGGTCAGGGCAGACAGAGCCATGGGGCCACATGACCCAGAGCAGTAGAGGGGCCTAGGTGCTTCCCAAGGCCATGGCTGTGGGAAGAAGCCACGGTTCCAGTGGCTGTTAGTGGCAGGGACTGCTGTGGAGGGTTGATGGTTAAAGGAAAATTAGGGAAAGTCAGCCAAGCCAACTTCTTGGGTGTTGACTTTGTAGGGAAGGAGAAACACGGTAGGGGGGACTCAGTGGGTGCAGATGGAAGAGTGTTAGGAATATTAACTCAGAGAAAGGAAAAGCCCTGGACAAGACTGCATAGAGGAGAATCACCAATGCCATCTCAGAGGCTGTTTTTCTCTGAAATCATGGTTTTCTAAGTCTTTTTGGCCGTGGTTTGCAGGATCTCAGTTTCCTGACCACGGGCTAAATATTGGCCTTAGTGGTGAGAGTCCAGATCCTAACCAATAGGCCACCAGGAAACTCCTTTGAAATCCCTGTTTAAAGCCACGTGTGATCACGAGAATCACGGCAGTAAAGTTTACCAAGGGCCTCCTATTGGTTGTACTTGGTCCGTGAGTTGTCACATTAATTGACGTGTAATTACAGTATCATAGGTTCTGCTCTGAGCAGGAAAGGAGAGGCCAGAATGGTCACTGTTAAGTTCAGTAGGACCAACCCGTCACCACAATGGGAACAGAATCCCGAGGTGGATGCTCTGTTTGGGACCTAGGCTGACATATGGCGACCTGGCCCCTGTGCTCGCTCCTCTGTGCTGTGGGACTTGCTTCCTCGACATGGAACTGATGCAGAGCAGCTTCTGACACGGCAGCCACGTCGGCACAGACGGGACAGAGAGCAATGCTGAGCCTGCAGGCCAGCGCAGCGGGTCCTGGGCCACAGAGCCCATAGCTGCCTGAAGGCCAGCGCTCCCAGGGGCTGAGGGGCTGCGTGTGAAGCCCCCCTTATTTGTCCACCATGATCAAATCGTGTGCACAGTCCTGCAGGACGTGGATCCTTCACCAATGGCTGGAAACCATAGGGAAACCGGTTTATCTGCACCAGGCCTGCGGAGACCACAGCCGCTCACACGTGCAGAAAACATGTCTGGCCCACTTCAAAGGCACCGTGCCTGTCTTCACCACCAAAGGAAAGAATTCTGAAAAGAAAGCCATAAATAAGCCTACGGGTGCAGGGTGGGGCAAGGGGAATTTCAGCTTTTTGGATCACTCTGTTGAAAGGCAAATTTTTCCCCCTTTTTTCTTTGGCTGATCTTGAGCCAATAAAGCAATTGGCATAATTTTTAAATACCGAGCACTAAATGCAGATGTATTTTTTTTTTTTAAGTTTATCCATCTGTAACAGCAATCCTGGTTCATGAGATAGAAGGCGGTGACCTCACCTGGTCGCAGAATTCCACTGCCCACCGGCTCCAGAGAGACCCGAGAAGGGCTGAGTCATGCAGAAGGTACCAGACAGAGAACCTCAGGTGAGAAAGTGGGTCCAAGAGTTCGTCCTTCACGCGGTCCTGCCGGCTCGTTTGATGGAGAGGACTGTTGGGAAGTCAGCATCATCCAGTCAGTGTGAAGACCCTGATACATACAACCCCACAGGAACAGCCCACATGTACACAACACACTTTCCTTGTTCCAGGAAAAATACTGAACGTGTTACGTATGCATGCATGCATGCTCAGCTGTGTCCGACTCTTTGCCACCCCATGGGCTATAGCCCGCCAGGCTTCTCTGTCCATGGGATTCTCCAGGCAAGAATACTGGAATGGGTTGCCATTTCCTTCTCCAACAATACATATAGATATATTTAAATCCCTTCCATCTTCATAACAACACTTGGGAACAAGGACACTGAGGCACAGAGAGGTTAAATCACTTGCTCAAAGCCACATAGCTGAGCAGGGCAGAGCCAGAACTGGCCAGCAGTGTGGGCTCTGAGCCTGCTGGAGACGTACCATTCCTGTCTCACCCCAACTCAGCTGTTCTCTGGACAGTTTCTACATTTAAATCCTGGGGAGAAGGAGTTGACATTGAAGGAAATCCCCTCCCTCCAGACTCCAGCTAAAATTCCAACCTCCTCATCTGTGTATCAGATGGATATACAGATGCCATTTTAAGGGCTTTTTTTTTTTTTTCACTTTGCTTTGCTACCAAGATTTTTCTTTTAACATGCCATGAGATATCTTGATTGTATATTTCCCAAAGTACTTTTCCAGCTGCGTCTCCCAAGACTTTACTGAATGTGGGCTAGTAGCTCTATATCTTGTGTGTGTGTGTTCAGTCGGGTCTGACTCTTTGTCATCCCATGGACTGTAGCCGCCAGGCTCCTCTGTCCATGGGACTCTCCAGGCAAGAATACCAGAGTGATTGCCATGCCCTCCTCCAGGGGATCTTCTGACCCAGGGATTGTACTCAGGTCTCCTGCATTGCAGGTGGATTCTTTACCATCTGAGCCACCAGGGAAGCCCCATAACCAGAGCCCTGGTAAAGACCGGCCTGAATTTCTTATCTGCTGTCTGATGAATTCCTATTTATTAAGGAGGCCAAGAACCCTGGTGAGTAACACATCTGCAAACATGGCACGTAGCATGGTCTCAGGTCCCAGAAGGAGGGTGTGAGCATCACCGGGGCCGTGCCATCTGCAGTTCTAACCAAGGCCAGGGGAGACAGTCACAACCCAGGATGAGTGTGGAACCATCCAGATTCAGCACAGAGTATGTGTGTCAGGAGCCTCGGGGCTCTAAGCAGCTGGGCTTTAGGCAAGGGGCTCGGGCCCCCAATCCCCACCGCCCGGTGGACAGCAGGGAGCCGTATGAGCTCTGGTGTGCGTAGTCTCTGGGCTGTGCGTGCCTTCACTGTTTTGTGAGGGCGGCTATGGATCCTCAGAACATTGAACAGACAGATGTGCAAATATAAATACCCAAACCAGTTGCAGAATACTCATTTGTATGTTAATTTATTCAGTTATTCAGTAAACATCTATGGAGCACTCCCCATAAGCAGGCGATGTGGGAAAGCTGTGTGGATCTGTAGCAGCTCTGAATTATTCATAAGGCCGCTCCCTTGCTGAACGTGGATGACCATGTGGGCCTCATTTTTGCCTGTCCATGCTCATGAGGCTTCTCACCCTGTGGACAGTGAGAAGCCCCGGGGCCTTGGCCGGTCTGTGGGGTAGGTGGATGGAGGTAGGAGCTGAAAGTGTGGGACCCTGCCTGCAAAGCGAGGGCCTGTGTTTATGGTCACAGTTCTTTCAGGCCTCAGCATCTCGTCCTTCTGCCCCGGGGGTCCCGGCATGGATGAGGGTGTGCCGGGCTCCTGGGCAAGGCCGCAGGCCATCCTGCTTAGGACACACATCATGGGCCTCCGTGTGTATGCTGCCAGCACCCTCTGCTTCTGTGGTCCAAGGCTGTACAGCCTCTGAGAACCAGCTCACTTCCAAACAGGCTGAGGTGGGAAATCTGAAATTATCAGAGCAACCTCTTCTGTGGGTAATGACCCTTCTCTAAAAAGACCCAGTGTTCATCTTGTAACACCTTTAAACCACAAGCTTTCTCTAAGTGTGGCTCAATTTAGGAACAGATTCCAATTTCTGAAGCTGGAAGAGGCCTTTAGAAGCCAAATTTTTTATTTTAAAACAAGAAAAATGGGGCCCCAAAAGGCAGAGTGACTGGCCCAGGAGTCCAGCTGGTGGGCAGGCAGGGGTGGGATTCAGAATCCCTGAGCCTCTGTACCCGCTCTGCATCACACACCTTATTGCCTACAGCAGCGCTTACAAACTGTGCGCAGGATATAGTCAATTCTGAATTATCCTCGCTGTGCACATCACTTGATCCAGAAGCACAGAGAAGTGGGAGAGACTGGCTGAAAGCCAAAAGAGCTGGGGTCCAATCTCAGTTCTATAGGTAACACACTGTGTGACCACAGGCACATGGTCCAACCTCTCTGGACTTCATTTCCTTTGTATGTAAACTGACCAAAGTTGAAAGTCTTTCCCATCTCCACTATCCGAGACTGAATGCAAAAAGCCTTGCAGGGTTAGACACAGGTCACGAGCAAACGAGAACTAGGCGAGGGTTTGGGCTGAAAATTGCTGACTTAATTTGCTCTGTGTTGATAGCTTGAGTAAGGGAACATATGGCCCGCCAGGAGACCCCCACGTCCACCGAGGTGCAGTGTGCAGGGTGAAGAGCCACTGCGGCTGGGAACGAACGAATAGATGGTTCACAGGGCCACCCACCGCGGGGTCCACACCCCTCTGGCCACTGCATCATTACTGGCTGTTAGCACCCCCATCCTAGTCAAGGGTGGGCGGAGTGACAGCTAGTCCTGGTCCCTGCACTTTTTATCTGATCCTTCTTTCAGAGACACCAGGCAAGGTGCGCAGAGGGACCCCTGAGCCCTGGGGGCCCAGCTCTGCTTCCTGGCAAACCCCACCCTCTCTGATAGAGAGGACGTGCCTCTGATGTGCAGGACGGCCCCCACTGGACCCTCACACTAACCCCAGGAGACTGATGTAACCCTTATTTTATAAATGAGACAACGAGGGCTCTGCAAAGTGACCTGGCGGTCCTGTTCATGATCCACAGCCCCCCACCCTGCCCTGAGGGGGCAGGATCAGAGTTTATGTACTGTGCATGATGGGAGAGACCGAAAATCCAAAGGAGCTGACAGTCCAGTGAGGAAAGCTCAAAGCTCATCCAAGATGCTCGAAGCTAGCAGAGGAGGGTGACCATGTCCTACCTGCCCCAGCTGTGCTGACTGAGGCTCCAGGAGGTCCAGGTGGGGTGGGGGATGGCGCAACAGCCTTACCTGTCACGTCGCTCAGAACCATGACACCGTTTGCTGGGCAAAAATCAGCACACTGAATCCCAAGACAGTAATAAATGCTGTCAGAAGACAAAGCCCAGATGTTTTATCACTCGGGGCAATATTGTGATTTCCGTGCAGAGTCAGGGCAGAGAAGTGGGGAGGTGGGACATTTCACACTAACTTTCCCCAGTGATGGTGGTGGCTTTTGGTGCTTAGAGGTAGACTTGACATTCCCCCAGCATAGGTGGTAACTCTGATCTCCCAGAAGAGTTCAGGTCATAAAGAGGATTTTTCTGCTTTTCCTAAAAGCAGAAAAATCCTCAAAAGTTAAGCACCAAAATATTGAGAGAGGCAGTCACTTAAACAAATGGAAATTCCCTACCCAAAGAAGAAAGGTCTCAGCCCAGGTGAGTCAGAATTTAAGGATTAGCAGGGACTGCAGACTGCACGTTGATGAATGAAGCTGCTCCAGAGGCATGAGGATTACAGCTCCACGGGGTCCCGGGACCACCTGCCCCCTCATGCCATGGTTGTACAATAACTGAATCCAGAATCCAGGCTTCTGTGTGCAGTCAGACTGTGCCACTGTACGTGTAGGTCCGGGCCTACCCTCCCTCCCTGCTTGAGTAGGAAGCCAAGGAAGGAGGCTCTTCAGGTTGGCCCAGGTCAGGATGGGGTACACAGTGGGGCAGAACCGGCAGAAACCTCGAAGCTTATAGGTTCTATTCCATCCGTTGACGGAGAAGGACCCTGAGTCCTGCTGAGGGAAAACGATTCCCTGAGGTTCCCAGGGCGCTCGCTGATAGAGCTGAGGTCCCTGCCAGATTTCTGCTCTCCAGGACCACGGAGGCCAGGCACCTCATGCCTCAACCGAGAAGCCCAGAGGGGCAGGCATTCTGCCCAGTCCTGCTCCAGTCTCTGCAGGCTTTGCTCCTCATCCCAGTCATGTCCCCTGTGGTGCCCTGGCCCGCTCTCTCCTCCCATCTCCACCCCCCCACCTCATGCAAGTGGCCTGGGGACGTCTGCCTGGGTCACTGCATGGCCCCTGCATGTCCTAAGCAAAGCTTCATCCCACCGGAAAGGCCTGAGAGAGTGAGGGGACGGGAGGGGAGGGACAGGCAGGCCAAGAGGAGGGGGATGGCAGGAGAGGGGACAGGAGGGGGTATGGCAGGAGGGGGGATGGGAGGGGGATGGGGGCAGGAGGAGGGGGATGGCAGGAGAGGGGACAGGAGGGGGGATGGGAGGGGGATGGGGCAGGAGGAGGGGGATGGCAGGAGAGGGGACAGGAGGGGTTACGGCAGGAGGGGGGATGGGAGGGGGATGGGGGCAGGAGGAGGGGGATGGCAGGAGAGGGGACGGGGGGGGGATGGGGGCAGGAGGAGGGGGATGGCAGGAGAGGGGACAGGAGGGGGGATGGCAGGAGGGGGGATGGGAGGGGGGTGGGGGCATGAGGAGGGGGATGGCAGGAGAGGGGACAGGAGGGGGGATGGCAGGAGGGGGGATGGGAGGGGGATGGGGGCAGGAGGAGGGGGATGGCAGGAGAGGGGACGGGGGGGAGGGGGGTGGGGGCATGAGGAGGGGGATGGCAGGAGAGGGGACAGGAGGGGGGATGGGGGCAGGAGGAGGGGGATGGCAGGAGAGGGGACGGGGGGGAGGGGGGTGGGGGCATGAGGAGGGGGATGGCAGGAGAGGGGACAGGAGGGGGTATGGCAGGAGGGGGGATGGGAGGGGGATGGGGCAGGAGGAGGGGGATGGCAGGAGAGGGGACAGGAGGGGGTATGGCAGGAGGGGGGATGGGAGGGGGATGGGGCAGGAGGAGGGGGATGGCAGGAGAGGGGACAGGAGGGGGGATGGCAGGAGGGGGGATGGGAGGGGGATGGGGCAGGAGGAGGGGGATGGCAGGAGAGGGGACAGGAGGGGGGATGGGAGGGGGGTGGGGGCATGAGGAGGGGGATGGCAGGAGAGGGGACAGGAGGGGGGATGGGGGCCAGGAAGAGGGGGA